AGCTGTGCTCCCTGAGGTAGGTGTGTGTGTGTGTGTGTGTGTGTGTGTGTGTGTGTGTGTTGGTGTATGTTTGAGTGTGTGCATGATTATACGTGTATGTACTGTATGTGTTTCTGTGAGCAAGCAGTTTCCATGCATCTGTGTACTCTAGTATGTGTCCTTAGCGTGGGACTTAGTACAAAGCACACATTGTAGTTTGTGTCAAAGAGTAGCAAAGCTCTCCGTGAGTGGGAGGAGGTGTGCATCTGCAGGCCTATTTTCTATTGTGTCAGCAGCTCGAGCTTGTCCCCACCTCTTGGAGTGATTCAACACCGGGCTGTGGTCCACATTCAAAAGTGATCCTTTAATACCAGGAGGGAACCACATTAGTTGAAGTGAGGTTTCTGCTGTGTTTTGGTGCAGTGTTTCTGAACACCTGTCAGTCATATTCATAAAAGTACATATCCAGCTTTACCCACTGTATTAAAAAAATATCTGGAGACATTTAATGCACTTAGCCGATGTTCACAGTAGGCATAGGTTCAGTGCCAATACCATGCAAGATGTAGCTAGTGGATACTGGAAATCGAGCAGTACCGTTTTTTTTCCCTCGCGTTTGGTCGAAAAAGTTAAGCTAGAAATATGTTTTGATATTATTTTCTATTTGTTTCAGTTGGACCCCATTCCTGACGAGGTGCTGCAGCAGAGACCGAATGCCAATGCTGTCCACTCTATGGAGAAAGTTCTCGAAGCTCACAGTGAGTGAATTATTTACACCTAGACACAACATGCCTCAGCATCTATGTGATGTACTTATCTTACTGAATGTAATTACCTGTAAATTATTTTAGTTTTTTGACACTTTTATATTTTGAGCATGATGTTATTAATATAGAAAAAAGGTATAGTAAAAGCACACATACAAAACCTGTAGAGCCATAAACATAACATTTCTCAGCAACTGTTCTTATTAGACATTCACGCTGTCTTGGTATTTTGTAGGTAAATACTGGCGCTCGCTGCAGCGCTCCGCCTCCACACTCGGTTGCTCGTTGAGCGAAGCCCTTCAGCGTGACACAGAGGAAGCTGAGACTGTCTCCGCTATGGCCTCACTGTCTGTCGCCAACAAGCACATTGGAAAGAGGTACATGGTGTTAGAAGGTCTTAATGACTACTGAACCTTATAGTATACATTTAAAGGAATAGTTCAACATTTTGTAAAATATGTTTATTCTCTTTCTTGCTGTGAGTTAGATGAGAAGATAAATAGGAATCTGCTGTGATTACCAGGCAACCTCACAGTGATGACAAGCCTTCAAGAATTTCGCCCTGTAAAACCACATGTTGTTTTAACACTTTGGCTTTTGCACAGTTTAAACAAATGAAATATAACGTGTTAATAGTGAGGTTATGAGGTGCTGGTAGGTGGATGTTAACTTTGGACAGAGCCAGGCTAGCTGTTTCGCCCAATTTCCAGTCTTTGTGCTAAGCTAAGCCAATAGCTGCTGGCAGTAACTTCATATTTACCATACAGATGCAAGAGTGGGATCAATCTTCTCATTTAACTCTTGTTAAGAAAGCCAATAAATGAGGCTACAGATACACCTGACTGCAGCTTTTAGTCCCTTGAAGCACATTGTTTTGGTTTGATGGCCTGAAACATCCACTGTACACTGCTTGCCTAGCATCAAATGCCAGGCAAAGAACGACAAAGAAACAAACAAGCTGGTGAGAAATGCCAAATGTCTAGCAGTTAAAAACATAGATATTTTGGTGGGTTTGGTGTATGACACCTGATAACAATTACTGTGTACACTTGTGTTACATGTGCTGCATAAAATAAGCTGCCCTAGTCTCTGTCTTTCTTTTGTACTGTTGTTACTGTACTTTGTTGTATGCAATTCAGTATTTTATAATTGCATGTACAATTCTTAAAGTTTATAGTCATAGTTCTGTAAGCAAATAGTATTACAAGAGTGTTTATGGTATTATCTTTCCAAAGGGCTGAAGAGGAACCAATGGAAGAGGAAGCTCCTATGTAAAGAAACATCCCCTTTGACCACTGTGACCACTGAGACCAGTCTTCATCTTTGACAGTGTCCTCATCCAGTCAGTGTCAATTTAAATGCCACTCCTATGTCTCACCCCTGCCATGTCGAGAAGGCATGTTATTATGGGAGAGAACAAGCAGAGCTGACTAAAGTGGTGCTCAAAGGAAACGGAAAACTGATGAGCGATGCATTCACTGATCAGCATTGCACAGACTGATCAGCATAAATGTGTTGGATATAAGAGGATTGACTCAACCCATCCCACAATGACAACCTCGAGTGCCAGTGCTTTTAAAACACTAGACAAGATGTACTTTTTGAATGCCAGTCGGAACCATTCACAGACAATCTGCAGTCATCTTCTTTTCTTATTATTCTGTTCTTTCTGTGCTTTATCTTCATCTTCTCACTTTTTGATGTGATTGTGACTCTGCACTATGGATGAATCATTCCTGCTCTTTTAAGATATCCAGATGAATGGAACAAAGTGGTTGAATTTTTTGGAGCTTCTGATTCCAAAAGGACTGACAGTGAAAGACTGCGTTCGTGCCTTTTTTTTTCTTTTTCTTTCTTCAAACCTGGCAGATTTTCTGTTGAACTCTACTGAAAGAGCTTTGCCTTAAAAAAAACAGGTTTGGGAACGCGGCCTCTTCTCCCCAGCCCCTTAAACATTTCTATCCTGCTATCCTGGCAAGACATCCATTGCCTGCATGTTGTTGGCACATAGACTGGAGGACCTTGGCATGTTTACCTATAATTCTCTGCAAGCAGCCTACTGTCTCTTCCTGTACCTCCATCTTTCCTTTTTCTTCCCCCCTCATTTTTAACAATATCAGCTTAGAGGAGAGTTCCCAGCCACAAGTTGAAGGTGGTTCAGTTTTGAAAAGGAAGTTAAATGTGGGATTAGTATTATTCAGTGTAACCGTGTATCAGGTACAGTTCCATAACCAGAGGAAACTTCTTTAGACTGGGTGGGGGGGAGTTTCACATTCACAACTATGAGCAATTTAGAGTTGCCAAATACATAAAAGAAACATAACCTGCATGTCTTTGGACTGAGGGAGGATGCCGGAGAAATCCAGCACAGGCAAGGGGGGTTTTAATAGTCAAAAACAATAGTGGAAAATAATTGAAATTACATTTTTGTGCAAAAGACTTTCATAAGGTCCCTGCAACACTGTAAATAAAATCTTGATCTTAACATCTTAAATAATATCTTGACAGCACCATATGTTTGCTCAGCAAAACAATATGACAGTATGGAAACATAGGCTACTTTAGTCATCAATAAAACTACACTGACAGCACAGTCGTTTTTTAAGTGTTACTGTTGGTTGAAAGCTGTATTTAAACTACATTTTGTTCATTTGGAGAGGCTGTCTGAATCCAAACCTTCAGCCACAACAGTTCAATAAGCCTACAGACAAAATAACACAAGACACTATACAATATATACCAAAAACATCTGGAAAGTGACAGGGACACACGTAGACGTGACTGAAAACAACATTACACATAATACACCTCACCTGCATTTGGGTGGGGGGGAGTTGCTGTTGCACCTCTCCTTCCTTTGGCTGTGTCTGAGGGCAGCATGTCTGTGTGGAATCTCCTCAGCACCAGGCGGAACAAGGCTCAGCGCCTTACATGCACGGTGCATCAATCAACGATTAGACAATAATGAAACCAAAGCGCGATGGACTTTCATCTCTGTAGAGTCCAACCACTTAATTTTTACCTTACAACCAGTCTCACTTTTTGCAGATGAATGAGGGATAGAGGGGAATTAATCTCATATGGGCCAATTTGTTGAACCAGCCCTCTCATTTAGACGACTGCGTCTCCTTGGTAACAATGACCATACCACCTGGGATTTTCCAGTGCTGCACAGACTCTCACAGCTGGTTTAACATCTTTAGCTTCTTGTTAAGCACATCTGCTCCCCAAATGTCTAGGTGCTGTGAGGCAGGTGTGTGTACATCTGTTCATAGACAGTGAAGCGCAAGCTGCTCTTTATAAATATTCAAGTGTATACATATATTTTTATAGTTGTTTTTCCTTTTCTCTTGACCAGTGATACAGCCAGTGGGTTAAGCTCATGCATAATGAATAACCTTACATCTTTGAATAGCACATGTAGCTCAGATTCTGCTCTGGATTCTGAATCCTCCTTTAGGATTGGGTTTCAAAAACATTAGTCAAACAAATCTGCATTACAAATCTGAATCCTTTTGAATCAGTTCTGTATCTTAAATATCTTAATATTTAAGAAGAGCTTAATGAATTTGGGTTCTTTACCAACTGGGGACTTCACTTAAACTTAACTGGCTAACAGTGCCTAACCCTACTAGCCAGACTACACAGACTACACAACGCATCAGCCACCAGCCTAGTTGGCATAATTACAATTTTTTTTTCTTAGTACATGTCTGATAAAAGAGTGCAGAATTTAACTTCCTATCTGTAACCATCCTTCCAACTTGTGTTTGGCCCCTGGGCAACAACCTTCTCACACCTTTGTTTCAGCTACAAACAAATCACGTTTAATGTATATTTTCAGCAAACAGGAAACAGAGTGCTGTGGTTTTTATTGTTGTTTACTGTACATAGGACATTGATTTCCTGAGTATTCCTGCCACACACACTTGTCAATGACTACTTTTTCTTTTTTTTTTTGTTAATTTCTTCCCATCTGTGTCTTGTTTCTGGTTGTGTTGCCGTTTCAGTGGACTTCAGTGACTTCTTTTTTGTACTTTTTTAATGTATTTTGTTCACTTTCCCCTCTCTGTCTCTCTGTTACATTGTAAAGCTGACATACTTCACAGCAGGTGAGGGTTCAGATTCTGGTTTTAGTGGGCATACATGACTATGTTTTCTGGGTTTAGCATTTTTGTGGGAGGGTTGGGATGCAAATGTTTCTACTTTGTATAATGATGGACAATTGTGTATTTACTGTCTGTTCATAGTAGATTTCTATATGAAAGAAATGAGTATATTATATTATATATATATATCTATACATAATGAAATACTATGATCTTGTTTTTGAAGTGGGTATTGAAAATACTTTTCATGGGTCTTACATACAGTCAGCCATTTTTAGGGTGTTACTGAAGGCACCTTGTACTGTCCTTGGTTACAGTTGGTTACATGTTGAGTAGCATTTTACTGGTTGTCTTTTTGTCTGTCAACACTGATGACAATGATGAGTTTTTGGCATTCATCCCATTGGTGCCATACCACAGAGTAGGTGTGCTATTGCCCTCTGCTCAACCTTGCATTTAATTGTTCGTACCATTCCGCTTTTTTCGATTTTATGTGTGTAGATGTTATTGTAGAAAAACACACATTTTGGCTTGCACCTATTAAGTTTCAGTATTTTTTAAAAATGTGAGACTAAAATTCTAAATCTTGTTTCTACACATCTCAAAAATGACCAAAGTGGTGATCGATTTCTTCCTCTTTCTTAAAGGTTTACAAGTTCATCCTCTAACAACAAGAAAAAAATCCCAAAAATGGGATGGGTGGATTTGAATTGGAATGTGGCCATGCTATTTCCCTATTTTAAATCCCTCTGATGGGCCTTACAAATGATTTCAGAGGATCATCAGTTATTTCCTTATCTGGCCAAATGTCCCAGTTTTAATTTAAATCAACATTCCTTTAAATTCATATAGTTTACATCTGTAATCTCTTTCATCAGCTAAGTGATGCCTCTGAGTTTCAGGGTGGCCTGTTGCTTAGCAAGACTGTCCTGTATCCAAAAGATCACAGGTGTGTGATCCCTTCAACAGCCCACGTCTTTCTGTCCTCACAGAACACTAAAACTCCGTTCCTGGCTCCTATCGTACTAGGACCAATTTTTAACAATATCTATGTCTCAGAGAAACATAAGAATCAAATGCTGATTGAAAGATTGAAGTCCATTTTCTCATTTTAACTGAATGTATCTGACCTCTACTGGCAGAGTGATGCTGCATCTCCCTACAGAAAATGGCCAGAGAGGTCAAAGTTAAGACTGTTTCACGCTTGAGTCAACTGCCACTTTTTCAATTTACATGAACAAAGGAAAACGTGTGGACGTGAAACAGTGCTTGCACGCCATAAAGTAGGTTTTACACTGAGTACCCAAGAGATAACTGAAGTCTAAGCATTTGTAGAAGAGCATTGTTGGGCATCACAGTTTTATTTAGTATGGTTTAAATTCATAACCATGTGTAAGATGTGTGATTTTTCTGTACATTCCCATTATATCAGACACATACACAAACATCACTTTCTCTTGTATGTTTTGTAATTTTGAGAAACTTTTTACATTATTGTGATACTTCATGCATACAGAGGTAGTTACGGACAAGGATTAGAGCCACAAGTGAAAAAATCATTTGAGTTCTGACTTTAAACACAGAATAATTTTTTTTTTTTTAATCCTTTAAACTCGAAATTAAATGAAATACATTTTTCACATGTGGCGTTAATCCTCTCCTACAAGTATTTGTAGTTGGAATATGAAAATGCATGTAGTCAGGCTGTCCTGAATGTCACCTTAACTTGGCTATGCTGACATCTCTGTGCATGTAAACTCGCTTCATAAAATGCTTTTCAGTAACCCAGCCCAGAGCATTCCCAGAACCTTTGCACAGCAGTGCCAGTCATGGGGTTTCTACTGCTGAAAGCTTTGGTTTCTCAAAAGGAGCCAAGACTAGCACTGTCTGGCTACTCTGGCCGTCTGTCTTCACTGTTAGTCTTAACACAATGTTCAGTAACAAAAAAAGCAACATTCCATTTTCTTATAATTTCCATTTATTAGGAGGGGCATATCTTTTTGTTTTAACCCTCATAGTTCAGTCCAGCCAGGTCCAAAACTGTTTATTTAGGTGGCCTGGTCCGACTCCACTCCATTCCTCTTTTCTCTCTGCATGATCCGTATGTCCGCATGCACTGCCTACCTGCCTGTCTGTCTGTTCCGTACCACATATCAGCACAAGGGATCGAGCACTGAAGGACTTTAGTACTTTCACTGTATCCAGACCGTCTTATCTCTTTTACTGCTTTTGTTTCTGTTGGGGAGGAGTTTGGGTGCTCATGTTGTGCTTTTACCTGTAGGATATGGAATCAACAAACCTGGAAGACTTCAGTTGAATATTTTACAAAAAAGGAAAAAAAAAAGTATCTAGCACTTGTAACACAGACAATAGATTTTATTGTATTTATGTAGAAATACAAAAACAAAATTGTTTTACGGGGGCGCTTTGTAAACTGCAACAACAGAATGGAAAACCTTTTTTCTTTATACCAGGCGGGATGTGACTTTGGTGGACTTTTGGGAAGACATTGTTGTTCTTTGTCACATCTGGATTTATCAAAGGGCTCCATCCAGATGCCTGGTCATTGCTACGGTTGTCCATTCCACTAAATAAGCCAGTTATCGCTATGACCACTGTGGTTCATAAACAAACAGTTCTAGGTTTACATATGTATAAAATGCATATTCTTTTTTATCAGTTATGTTTTTGACTTGTTCCACCATTGTTACAGAAATAGTACATTTTTCTCGGGAACCTTTGCTCTAACATGTTGTCTTTGACATCACAATATAAAGTATTGTTTTGGAAAAACTGCAATGTTTTGTTTTTTATTTTAATTTAATTTAGTTTCAATTGCAAAGAAAATGTTTATTCAAGGTCAGGCAGACGTGTCCTACCGTCAGACATGAGAGCAGATGTTGAGCGATGTACATGTGTCCTCACACAATAACAAACAGCACTGTACTGTAATGGCAGCTTGGCAAGATGAATGCACATACGTTTTTCACACACCTATTTAACTTCATCCAATATAAATTGCTTAGATAGAGGACTAAGTATCCAAACTGATGTAGCAGAACCAGAGATATCGTCTTTCTGCACGTGAATAATTCCCACATAAAGGTAGTGTAGTGGGTAATAAATATCTTTATATAAATGTATGCGGCATAGGTAATAATGAACTAAATGTGAGAGAGCAGAGGGTGAGAACAAAAATGAGTTTTCAGAAATGAAAATGACTGTGTAGGCTATTTTTAACATCTTAATCAATTCAATATTATCAAGCCTAATCAGCCATCAGAATTGTCTTTTATTGTGAAAGCCGCAAGCTTCCACATGCTCTCTGAGGAAACGTGCAGCTGCAGCGAAGCACAGGTGCTTCAACAGTTGACAGAAACTTTTCCAAGAACACAACTCTTAAGCCGCCGAAAGAGGACAAGAAGGAAGATAAGGGCGCTGTAACTCAGCTGTAAAGTTTGCATTCTGGGACATCAGATCCTTGAAACTGTGTGAATATGGAGTCAGTGAACTGACATAGGGCTTTACTTACCTCAGTGCCCAGCTGGTCTTGTGTACGCAGCAGCAGCCTAGTGAGCAGCAACAGTTGGTGATTGATTCAACCAAACATGCTACGGTTATATTATGATTTGAAGTCATGTTTCTACATATTACACTTCTAATTGCACAAGTATGCACAGGTCGGGTCCATATTTAACTTGAATAATTGCGGGCAATGGGTCAGTTCAGGTTTGCAAAACTGGACCCATGCAGGACTTCCACACACAGAAATTAATTTGTGGGTTTGTAGTCTGTTTTAGGAAGCAAATCCTTTTTTCACCCCTTTGCTTGCATAGAATGTAACTGAATGGAAGGCGAATATTGACCAATATTGATTTCACATATGTGACCATGCCCATATGCTAGTCGCGGCTAATGTAACCTCGAGCCGCTAGACTCAAGCAGAGACAGAGCAGCCTAAAGAGATCTAGTAAGCTCACTTCTTTCCAACTCCATACCTCCTGATTTTTTCATTTTTAAACAACCGATGAGGTATCACATGAGGTAATTGATCAGACATCACAACGCTCACTCTGACCTTTTACAATTTTATTTACACATGCAGTCATACTCCCCAAGACCTGTTAACGGACTTTGATGTGTGGTGGAGTTCTCCTTTATTCCAGAGTGAGGCAGCATTGCAGGAATGGCAACAAGGGCCCCACAGTAGCTTTGACTGGGATTAACCACCCATTTGGAAAGGTCAAAGGTCGGAGCTGGTGTCCAAATAAACAGCACTGAATCCCTGTTGGTGGTGGAACTAACGTTAGGACAACAGTCCAAAAGCAAACAAAACCAATCCCGCCTTACCTCCCCTCAAATAAACACACATTCCACTGCTTTCCTGTCAAACTCTGAATTTAGAGAGTAACATTGTAAATACTACCATGGCCTTAGGCTTTGTAGGCTCGTCACAATCTCTGTAAATCATGGAGGTTTGAGACACCATGCAGTGTCAAACAAACAAAAAGGAGCACATCTCTGGTTCCTTGAGAGAATAAGGTTAAACGGAGACATGAGGGACAATATTTACTATCATA